CCATTTGTATGTCTTCCTTAGAGAATTACTTGTTTAGGTCTTCTGCCCATTTTTGGATCAGGTTTTTTTGTTAGGTTGTATGAGCTGTTTATATATTCTGTAAATTAAGCCTTTGTCAGTAGAATCATTTGCAAATATTTTCTTCCATTCTGTAGGTTGTCATTTTCATTTTGTTTTGCTTATGGTTTCCTTTCTTGTGCAAAAGCTTATAAATTAGGTCTAATTTATTTTTTCATCTTATTTCTATTGCCTGGGTAGACTGCCCTAGAACATTACTAAGATTTATGTCAGACAATGTTTTGCCTAAGATTTATTGTGTCTTATATTTCTTTAAGCCATAAAATAGTATTTGCATATAACCTATGGATATCATCCTGTATACTTTAAATCATCTCTAGATTACTTATAATTACTCAATACAAAGTAAATGCCATGTAAACAGGTGCTGGTGTGCAGCAAATTCAATTTTTGCTTTTTGGAAGTTTTTGAAATTATTTTTCCAAATACTTTATATTCCCAGTTTGTGGAATCCACGATGCAGAACCCGTGGGCACAGAGGGCTGGCTGTACTTGAAAATGTTACATCAGGTTGTGTGCAAGGACCTCACTGCTAGCATTCTATTCTCCAGGGAATTTCCTCAGCTCTACCAGGCCTGCTGCCCATGTGGTGTTTCCTTAGACATTTCAAACTCATTGGAGTTTCTCTCTTTTCCCAGGCACAGAGAATAATAAAAAGCTTTATTTAAGAGGTTTTTATATTTTCTATCCTAATACAGAGTATAGAGAAAGTCCTATTCTCAGCTCTGACATCAATACATGCCTTGTGAGGGGAGGGACCAGTGATTATGTAAGGCTCACCACTTTGCAATCAGATAATTTTTAGAAACAATTAACTCATTATAATCTTCTCAAATAATTATATCTTAGCACTTTGAAAGAATGTTAAGCAGAAGATGTTGGAAGTTTACAGCATATGAGATTCTATGCCTTGTAAAATCTGTACACCACCACCTACCTGCTCCTAGTGTTCACAGATCACTAGTTACTCCTTTGAGAATTCCATTCCAGTTTAAATTGTTCCAATGATGTCTTTTAAGTTCAGGGTTAGAACATCAACACTGTGCATTCAAGAATATTATAAGGGGAAAATAATTACCCATTTGATACAAATTTACCAGTTGTCTGTTTTGTACCAGGTAAGTCAGAAAGATGAGAAATGGATTCACCCATAAAGGGCTTAAATTTAGCAGAGAAAATAAAACTCACATATATGAAAATATTAGTGGAAAATATTATATATCACTGTACTTCATTTAATTAAATACGTAATATAAGCTAATTTTTTTGTTGCAGCAATAAACAGAAAAGTAGTTGGGACTCACCACTATAAGCTGTCATTGATCAGGGTCTTAGTATCGAAAAGTATTGCCTACAAATCCCCAAACATAACTGGTGTGTTTCCAAGCTTCTGTGATAATTTAAACAAACCTGGGGAATCAATTTCCTAACAGGTCATCGTTAGACCTTCGGAGCTGCTTGAAAATCTTTAACAAATGACTCAGTTGTTTCAGGTCAGGCAGGTTTAGAAAACCCTGCAGTCCTTGCAACAATCCCATGAAAATATTTTTCCTCTTTCAGAGTTGAGAAAACTAAGGTTAGAGAGATTAAAACAATCTGACGTCCACAACTTCTGTTCTTTTCATGGCACTAAGCTTTCGTTGTTCTCTGAGAAAATGATCAGGTTGCTAGTGGAAGCGTGGTATTAAAATACCTGAGAGACAATTCATTTCTGTTGCTACTTAAAAACAACTTTACAGTCTGTTTTAAAGTGCTAAAGAAAGAAATATTGAGCCCTTGAATTAAGAAAGTCTTTGTCAGAAATAGAAAGCTAAGATTTCTGGGAACGCTGAAGCTTTTTATGTTCCAGAGAAAAGTCAGGCACACATTTGAACAAGAAATGAGATACCCTCTAGCTTCAAAGAGCTAAAGAAAAGGACCAGCACATGTGGAGAAAAATACTCCAGACTAAAGAAAAGAACGTTGCTCAGACATAGGTTGCCATAATCTTGTTTTCTAGCTCTGTCTGTGTTACACACCAAAGGCCGGGACCCTGTGTATAAGAATGCAAGGAAGTTGACAGGTGGTGCAGGAATGGTGTCAGCAGAAAGAAATACAGGAAAATCTAGTCTAGCTAGGAAGAAAGCTAACATATGAGGTGACGTCCTGAATCCCGAATGAAACCAGAGCCAAGTTGTGAAGACGACTAAAGACTTCAGAAAGTTGATGACAGCCCAGAGGTTAATTTACCTAGGATGTCTTTTTCCCCCCCTTTTTAATGAAGTATAGTTGATTTACATTGTTGTGTTAGTTTCTGAGATACACACACACACACACACACACATTTTTCCTATTTTTCATTACAGGTTACTACTATAAGCCACTGAATACAGTTTCCTGTGCTATACAGTAGGACCTTGTTTATCTCTTCTGTACATAGTAGTTTGTATTGGCCAATGCCAAACTCCCAGTGTGTCCCTCCTCCTCTCCGTCTCCTGCTGGTAACCACAAGTTTGTTTTCTATGTTTGTAGGTCTCTTTATGTTCTTTAAACAAGTTTGGTTGTGTCATTCTTTTTAGATTCCACGTATAAGTGATATGATATTCATCTTTGACTGACTTAATTCACTTAGATCATCTCTAAGGCCATCCATGTTGCTGCAAATGTCATTTCATTTTTATGGCTGAGTAGTATTCCACTGTATATATATACTAGGGTGTCTTTAAATGGATTTCAAGACATCCACTGAAGTAGCATCTTGACATAGCATCTACAATTTTGTTTGCATGTATGTATTCTGAGAAAGTCTACGGCTTTCATGGGTTTCTCATTAATCTCTATAGCCCAGAAAGAAGTCAAGTGAATGAAAAGACCATATTTTTAGTAAATTCAAACAGAATGTGAAGAAGGAAAAAGGCAGATGGTCATGAAGCCCTGACAAGCCTATATAAGCATCAGGCAAGTCAAGAGGATTCAAGTCAGGGGGATCCTGGTGAAATGTTTAAGACTGTCTGTCTGGTGGGAAGAAGCCGTGAGTTATAGCACTTTTTGATTTCTGTGATGTAAATAATCCCAACATGGCCAATTTCAAGCTGCCAATGACATGCTAACTTACTAAATTCCCGAAATTTTAACAGCTGTCTTTCACAAGACTACAGAAGCCAGCTCCAGTAGCTCTCTGATTCAAGGTGAGTTCATTTCTCTTAAGTCGGGAAAAAACTAAAATTAGGTCCACTTAATGAAAAGAGTTGAGCCTAATTTTATATACATTTTCTGTTAACATTTTATAAATATTGCTTTAAGTAGAATTTTTTAAAGAAGCTTTTTTGAGATGTTTAACCAAGCTTAAAAGAATCAATGAATAAAGTCAAAGCTTTCTCTAATTTTTTTGATAGGGAGAGTAATTTCTGTAGAAAAACTGATAAGGATGCTGTAGTTACAAGAAAAACTGGGTCCCTTCTTAGTTCACTTGGGCTGCTATTACAAAACAAGACTGACTAGGTAAGTAGCTTATAAACATTAAACATTTTTTGCTCACGGTTCTGGAGGCTGGAAGTCCAAGATCAGAGAGCCAGAATGGCCAGGTTCAAGTGAGGGCCTCTTCTAAGGCTGCAGACTTCTCACTGTATCCTCACAAGGTGAAGGGGCTAGAGAGCTCTCTGGGTCCTCTTCTATTAAGGGCACTACTCCCATTCTTGAGGGCTCCAACTCATGACCTAATCACCTCCCAAATCCCACCCCCCAATATCATTATCTTTGGGAGTCAGGATTTCAACCTAGGAATCTGTGGAGAGACATAAACATTCAGACCCATAGCACTTCTAGAGCAGTGGTTCTCAAACTATGGGTTCTGGGCCAGTAGCATCAGCATTACCTGAAAACTGATTAGAAATGAAATTCTCAGGCCCCCACCCAGATCTCCTCAATCAGAAACTGACAGTGAGGCCCAGCAACACATCTTTTAACAAGTCCACCACCAACTTGCTATACTATTAGGTTTATCTGTTTTAAACCTGGGAGTTGTTTTTTTTTTTTTTGGTTTTTGAATTTATAAGATATTTAATTGATTCCAAAATAAGGGAAACTGAGAGATATCTAGCCATTTGTGGCTCCTCTGTCCCAATATTTTAATATAAGCCATTTTGGTACATATTGGTATATAGCCCTTCCTGTTTTATACAAAAAGGTAGCGTATGTTGTTCTGTACCTTGTTTTCTCACTTAACACTTTGCCCTGGAGATGACATCACAGCAGTACGCAGAGAACCCCTTCATTCCTTTTTACAGCTGTTTAAGTGCCACATTATGTAGACAGACAACAGCTTATTCAGTTAGTCTTCTATTAATGGATATTTGGCTTTTCCCATGCTTTTGTTCTAATTATGCCATAATGAATAGACTTGTGCACATACCATTTTGCATTTTTACCAGTGTACCTGTGGAAATATCAATATTCTTAGAAGAAAGATAGCTGGGTCAAAAGTTAATACATATGTAATTTTGATAGTTTGACTACCAAACACCCCTAAAAATGTACTATTTTGAAGTTTTAAACACAGTATAGGAGAGTGCTTACTTCCGCATAGCCTTACCAATATATCGATTGTCAGATATCTTCATTTTTCCCATCTGAAAGCTAAGCCATGGTTCTTCAGTGCAGTTTAACTGCAGTTCTTATTAAGGGCCCAGTTTACATTTACACTTGGTTTTAGAAGAACTCTCTTATCTCTAGCTCATTTTGTCCGTATTTTTTGAGAGGTGGCCAAAACAATTAAATGTAATTAATTTACCAAAATTTTTTCTATTGCTGATGCATTTTAAGTCACAGGAAAAATTTTCTACCCCCTAGGTTACAGAGAAATTCATCTATATTTTCCTATAGCTCTTATTTGTACCCAGAATCTTAAACATATTTCTAAGATATTCTTATGCACACCAAAGTAGCAGTTTACAAATCCAAGTTTATAAACTGATGTCAAACAGTGCAGTTATTTACATGAGAAAATTTAATAATTTGTTATTTTCATATTTTTCTTAATTCTTCAAAATGATGTCAATCTGAAGTCTTCCTGCCTGCATGATAAAATGTTCCATTAGTAAAAGAGAAAAGGTTATTTCTGGAGTAATGTACACTGTTTATGAGTAAACATATTCAATTATTGAAAACGTTACCTTTCTAAGAGAAGACAACATATACCATTACGATGCATCCCACAATCCAGCCAATCAAGAGAAGAATGGGGACCAGAAGATGTGAGAATGTGGACTCTGCTTAAAAATAAACAGAACAGATTAGGTGGGTCATTTTGGTATTAAATCTTCTGAATCAAGGGGATAAGAGGAAATCTGGTATCATACCAGGGGAAAAAAATGCACTCTCTCATTATATCCATAGATAATTATTACTTTCTTTCCTGCAAAAAGTACTCATGACTCAGCCTGGTATTTAGAATAGAAGACCTGTGTTCAAACTGTAGGCCTTCCTTGTACAGTTATGTGACCTTGGGTAATTCTGAGCTTGAACTTCCCTATTTATAAAATACCGATAAAGAAACTTGTGGTAAATACCTCCCAGAGTTGGGAGGATCAAATAACGTTGCGTATGTGCAAAGGCTTTGTGAACTCTAATGACTTTGCATGTGGTGTACACAGAACACATTAATGCATTTGTTCAATAACACAGAGATGAGCTGTTTACATAAATACAACTGAAAATGACTCTGAGGTAATTCCTACTAAACTAAATAATCATAACATAGGGAAAGGTGTTGAAAATCATTCTGAGCCTTGACAGCTGACTTTAATCTTAAGAATCATAGGGAAAGGAAGCATTATACCTTATACAATCGTTCTTGACTAGAGAAAAGAGGTTCTACCTTTTTAACTGGTTGAGCCCACACTGATCCAATACACACATAAAAGCCAATAGTATAATAATTCCTCCTGTGTTTCCTATTTGCACCCCTACCTATAAAAAGCAATTTTTAAAAGTATCTTTTAAAATATTCACGGCATCTCAACCTTGTTCTTTCAAACACACATATACCTCACAAGAAGATTCAAAACAGCACAGAAAGACGGAATTACTTTCTCTGGGTTAAAGATGCAGATACAGTCTTAATTGAAAAGCAGTTAGTTTATGCCATTAGCTAACAAAGACCATGTATATTCTTAGCAATTACGTTCCTATTCCAATATCCATCACTTTACAATGTGAAGTTTTTTAATGCTATTAAAATAAAATCATCAGGAAATGAGACACTTCTAAAATTAGAAGACACTTGTAACAGCAAACCTTCTGAAATTAAAATGAATTTTAATAGTTTAAATCTACATTTCCAAAAATGTCACAAGTCTCTCAACTTTCACGAAGTTCAAGGGCTTTCCTTGCTTCTCCATCTCACTGGCTTTGAACAAAGCTTTAACTACTAAATGAAAATACCTTTCTCTTTTACCCACCAGGTGGTATTGCTTTAAGGATAAAGAGAACTTCTGATACCTTTACCCCCATTTGGATGAAAGCCTTTTTATGAATTAAGGTGCCATTACAGTGGAAGTATGAAGTAATTTTTTGAATTGTTGCTAGATTGATTTAAGTTCTTTGAAATAGGGAAAAATACTAAAAGTCAATACTGATATTTTAAGTGAGAATTTATATTTTATACAAGTGTATTTTAATATAGTTCTAAAATTTACATCCAGTAAAGTGCTAAAAGTAATATGTATCTTATTACTTATTCCTGCATTTAAATACTCAAAGTATGCTTGCATTTGTGTTCTGTTAACACTAATATTTTAAGTTTTATTATAATCTGTAGCATTGTTTTGAAATAGGAATATATAGGAACACAACAGACTCTGTATATGTCACTTACATTAATAGCACAAATCAGTACAAAACCTCTTTTTAAGTATGAAGAGTAATTTCAAAATGCTTCTCTCTGTCTAATCCTGAGCCTGCCTAAGCAGTTACACCTGCAAGTATTCTTAAGGGCACTGTGCTCTGGAAGAAGACTCTCTGGGTTCAAAACCTGGTGCCACCGCTCTCTTGTATGTGATCACAAGTAAGTTTCTAAACTGCTATGCCTCAGTTTCCTTATCTGTAAAATGGGAATGATGATAATACTTCATATCTCATGAGATTGTCAGGATTAAAAGCATCAATTCCCGTAGGCATTTAAAAACTTTCTTGGACACAGTGTATATATTCAGCCCCCTTTTATCCTAGTAGAGTCAATCATTTTTCCTAAATATAAAAAATACTTAAAAACCAGAAAAAAAGAAATTCAGATGTGAAGCATCTAAGAGATGCCTATTTTACTTACGTTTGAGAATCAGAAAATAGACCAAGAGGTAGCGGGACTGCCTCAAACTCACAAGGCCAGTTAGCTGAGATCTGACACAGAATTCAAATGTCCTGAATTCTGGGCCAGCACACCACAGTACCTCAAATCTAGCACAACAATAGAGAAAAATCGACTTCTAACTCATCTTTCAAAACAAGCATGAAAAAATTAAGCTCTTTTGTTCCTTTTAAAACTATGCAATTATGGACCATGTCTACACATTATATGAATATCTAATGCATTTTTTGCAGGCTAACAATACATGGTTAAATGCTCCTTTAGCAGAGCTACCACGTTCTTCAGAATAACTGAGAAATGGCAAATATTAGGAAATACAAATAAACCAGGGAGTCCAGAGCCTTTTTGGCCAAGAGGGTCAGATGCCTTAAATCTTACCTTTTTCAGCCATTCTTTGTGTTGTCGGGTGGGCTGGTCAGGGCCACGCTTACCTCTGTTATCCAGTGTCTCTTTGAACTTTAAATAGATATCTGAAGAGTGGCAGCTGCCATCTCCTGGCTGCCAATTGTCTGGGTGATGTAAGGTACTGGAAAGCAGAACTCCTCTGTCTCTTTATCCTGTTGTTATGGAGGAAACAAGGGGATACATGACCTAAAAAAATAAGTAAGTTGAATTACCCTAACCCAGAGATATGCAGATTTTTTTTTATTCACCCAGTGCCTTGGACAATATGAAGAAAATATTTGGTGAAGGGGGTGTACAGAGGAAGAATGGCATTGCAATTAGACAAGTCCTGTTAAAGAGGGAGGGTGATATATTGGAAAGAAAGGACTTTGGAGTTGGAGAGACCTGGCTTCAAATTCCGACTCTGCTTTTTCTGTAATAAAGGCCAAGCTGCTTAACCTGAGCATTAGCTCCTGTAATATTAAAATGAGGATACTAAAACCTACTCGCGGAAGAAGCGTCATAAAGATGAAATGGAAAAGCTATACGAAATATAGACAGTTCTTTATTACATTACAGAACGCAAAAGATAAATGGTGCCCCTTCCTATAAACCATTCTAAAAACAAAATTGTAATAGAAATGTCCTAGTATTGCCTAGAATTTTCAGAGAGCAGTCATAAGCTTGTTGTTTTATTAGCAATGTATTAAAAATAGGACATTCCATTTGTCAAAGTCCAGCCTGGTTTATGTAACATGACCTAGATCATGCTCTAGATTCTCTTTGGAATAACTAATGTTTGGGTCTGGATGGAGAAGTTTTGCAAAATTACCTTGCAACCAACTTTCCAAAAAATCCAACACAAGATTAAGGGTGTCCTCCTCTATAAGACAAGACTTGCCTGATCAGATCCACCTCTAGAGTTCCAAGTGATGTTTCCCTGCAAATGACCATGTCTCATCACTCACCAAAATCCACCAATGGTTCTCCAACTCCTTGTTAAGATGCCTAGAAAGCCTCCTCGCTCTATTTTCCCATTTGCAATGATGCTTCAACCATACCACACAACTTCTTATATGAATCCGGAATGCTACCACCCACACAGGCAAGGATAACATAGGAATTCCTATCTCAAGTCATATACCTACAGATTGGATTATGCAGCCAAAACTCTGATAAATTTATTGCATGCTTAATGTCATTTAAGCCAAGCTGTCACCTCTCTCTCTTTCTACAATTTAATATTGAAAAATATGCCTGGCTATACCAAATAAGAGAGATTATGTACTGTTTAACAAAATCCCGGTAAAGTCAGGAGGTATTTTTCAATATTAAATGATGAAACTTTGTTCAATATATTATTAAGGGCAAGACAAAGACAAAAGAAAAATGTAGTGATCGATCTCACTTAAATGCTGAAATTTTTAACTAAATAGATTCAAATGAACACTATCTTAAGGCAAAAAAAAAAATTCAAAAGAAACAGGTACCCTTCAAAGGACAAAGATAAAGATAGAATGTATGAAAGTTTCTACATTTCCACTTCAGTTGTCTTAAGCTTGCTTTTTTGATATGAAATATTAACATTATTGTTATAAGTTTGGATTTGGGGGAGGGATCACTTTATAACTCATCATTTTTCTTAGTTTTTTTTCCCCCTCTCTTTCTATGGAAAAACTAATTCAATGAACATGAATTGATTGCCCAGGTCTCAGAAAAGCATTCAATCTAGAATCAGATTTCCTTGATATCCCTTCAGTTTAAAAAGTTTTGTAGGAAGGGATAGACTGGGATTTCAAAACTGTAGAATAGATAAACAAGAATATACTGTATAGCACAGGGAAATGTATACAAGATCTTATGGTAGCTCAGAGAAAAAAATGTGACAATGAATATATGTATGTTCATGTATAACTGAAAAATTGTGCTCTACACTGGAATTTGACACAACATTGTAAAATGATTATAAATCAATAAAAAATGTTAAAAAAAAGTTTTGTAATTTAGTCAGTGGAAAAAAAGTTTTATTCAGGAATAGACTAGTTTTGCTTTGAACTCACAAACCCAAAGGCCTATATTTGTCCATGTTCTAATCTTCCTCTTAGGGCATACCATCTAGGTGTTTAGGTACATTTTCTGTTTCTACTTTGCATACTTTCTTCAAGATGTAGCTCTCAAATCCTTTATTATCAAGATGACATTAGATTCTTCTAGGGTTATTCAGCTAAAAATTCAAATACTTGGTTTCTTATTTAAGATAAGTCAGAATTCTTTACTCTTCATATTTTTATTCACTTTTGGGGGGTTATTTCTATGAGTTCTGATAAACACATGTAACCACCACCAAAATCAAGATCTAGAAAATTTCCACCACTCCTAAATATTTCCCCATTCAATCTCTTTGTAGTCATTCCCTCCATTTTCAGCCCCATTTTTCATACATTTTTAACCACCAGTGTCTGAAATCATAGTAAATAGACCTTCACATGCTAGATTAAACAGAAAATTTCTTATAAAGACATCAACTACCAAAACAGACTCAAAAAGGAATAGAATATTTGAATAGACATATAGAAAGTAGAGATTGAAATCATAATCCAAAAAAAAGTCCCACAAAAGAAAAGCCCTGAAACAGATGATTTCACTGGTGAATTCTAACAAACATGCAGGGTTAATACTAATCCTTCAGAAACTCTTTCCAAAAGCAGAAGAGGAAGGAAGTCTTCCCATCTCATTCTACGAGGCCAGTATTAGCCTAATACCAAAGCCAAAGATATTTTAAGAAAACTATAGACCAATCTCTCTAATAAAATTCTCAATAACAAACAAACCAAATCCAGTAACATGTAAAAGAATCATACACCATGACTAAGTGGGATTTATCCCAGGAATGCATAGTCAGCATGGCATTCAAATACTAATTAACATCATACACCCTATTCCCAGAATAACAAACAAAAACCACACGATCATCTCAGTAGATGCAGAAAAAAAACATTTGACAAAATCCAACATCATTTCAAAGTAAAAACACTACATAGGAATAAAAGGGAACTTCAACTTCATGAAATGAATCTACAAAAAACCCCCACTAACAACACACTTAATGGTGAAAGATTAGATGCTTCCCGCTTTACATCACGAACAAGACAAGGGTGTTTGCTCTCACACTCTGATTCAGTATTGTATGGGAGCTTGTAGCCAGGAGTAAAAAACATCTGAAAATCCTGAAGAATCCACGCCAAAAAACCTGGGAGTTAATAATCAAATTCAGCAAGGTTACAAGATCAAGACACAAAAATCAATTGTATTTCTAAACATTAGCAATGAATGGTTTGAAAATCATATAAGAAAAAAAGATATTTACCATAGCATCAAAAATAATAAAATACCTAGGAACAAATTTAACCAAAGATAAATAAGACTTCCAACTGAGACTAAGAAAATATTGCTGAGGATAACTAGAGATCTAAATAAATAGAAAGACATTCCATGTTGACGGACTGAAACATTTAATATTGTTAAAGATGGCAGTACTACCCAAAGCAATCTATGGATCCAATGTACGCCTATCAAAATACCAATGCTCTTTTTTTTTCTTTTTGCAGAAATAGGAAACCTAACCTTAAAATTCATATGGAATTGCAAGGGTCCCTGAATAATCAAAACAATCTTGAAGAGGATAAAAATGTTGGAGAACTCACACTTAACTGATTTCAAAACTTACTACAAAGCTGTAGTAATTAAGAATGTGTGGTACAGGTATAAAGACATATAGATCAATGGAGTAAAACTGAGAATCTAGAAATAAACTACTTACAGTCAACTGATTTTCAACAAGACTGCCAAGATAAAATATTAGGGAAAGAACAATCTTTTCAACAAATGATGCTAGGACAAATAGTTTTTCATGTGCAAAAGGATTAAGGCAAACCCCTTCTTCATACCATATACAAAAATTAACTAAAAATGCATCAAAGACCTAAATCTAAGAGCTAAAACTGTAAGATCAGGAGGAAACACGGGGGTGAATCAGGCAATGATTTCTTAGATGTAACACCTAAAGTAGAAGTAATCAAAGAAAAAATAGGTAAATTGGCCCTCATCAGTATTTAAAACTTTTGTACATCAAAGAACACTATGAAGAAAATAAAAAGGCAATCTATGGAATGGGAAAAATATTTGCAAATAATATATCTGATAATAGTTTAGTATCCAGAGTATATTTTTAAAAACTCTTAGAGTTCAACAATCAAGACAACCAATTTTAACATGGGCAAAGAATTTAAATAGACATTTACCCAAAAAAGATACTCATGTGGCCAATAAATCATTAGTTATTAGGGAAATGCAAATCAAAACCATAATGAGCTACCACTTCGCTTCCACTAAGATGACTATAATAAAAGAGACAAACCATAACCACAGCGTTGACAAAAATGTAGAGAAACTAGAACCCTATGGAGCTGGTAGGAATGCGAAATGGTACAGCCACTTTGAAAAACAGCTTTGAATTTCCTCAAAATGTTAACTGTAGAATTACCTTATGACCCAGAAATTTCATTTTCACATGTATACCCAAGAGAATTAAAAACAAGTGTTTAAACAAAAATTAGACACAAATGTTTATAGCAGCATTATTTATAAAGTCAAAGAGTAGACATAATGCAGATGTTCATAAACTGATGAATAAATAAACTAAATGTATTACATCCATACAATGTGTTCAGCCATAAAAAGGAATGAAGTTCTGCCCAAAAATGGTTGTACCTTGAAAATAGTATCTTAAGTAAAAGAAGCCATATTGTATGATTCCATTTTATGAAATGTCCACAACAAGCAAACCTATAGAAACAGACAATAGATCAGTGGTTGCTTGGGGGTGGTGGGAGCTGAGGGTGGGGAGTGACTGCTAAGGGGTATGGAGTTTCTTTCAGGAGTGATGAAAATATTCTGGAATTAGATAGTGGTGATAGCTGCACATCCTTCTGAATATATTAAAACCACTGAGTTGTACACTTCAAAAAGAGTGAATTTTATGGTACGTGAATTATATCTCAAATTTTTAAAGTTCAAATTGGTTCTTGAAACAAGAAAGCTTTAGAGAAGAACCCCCAGCCCCTCAAGGTGAAAAGGGGAAGGGAGG